TGAGAAAGTGCCAGGACAAGCATATGAGTATACAAAAGCCACACCACTTTTTAAGACCAGCAAATGTTGCTGGTTTGTCTTTGATTTACACATCGGTAATACTTCCTGTTACAGAAGCACAATGGATCTTCTCATTGCATTAATTAATTTAAAAACATGGTTAGGAAAGTGTCTTTCTTGACCTTTTCTTTTTTTTTTTTGAGGGGGGGAGGTAATATATCAGTCATCCTGGTACAACTACACAGTTTGAAAACTGCACTAACTCCATGCTCTTGTTAACACACACAAAAAAATGCTTTAATTAACTGAGCTAAGCCTTGTTCACACATTCACAAAAGTTGATCCATGGAGGTGCATGATACATTTGCTTGCCCTCAGAATAAGATCCTATCCCACATTTATCTATTCCCAAGTGGAAACGCAGTGTCAAAGCACACTTACTAAAGTTGGAGAAAACATTCAGTTTTCAACCGGTTTCCAAATTTTCCCACATCGTTAATAAAAATAACTGCTCAGAACTCAAAATCACAGTTGTTAATGTAAAAAGGGAGAGCGATGAATGCCTGGAGGCTCACAAAGCTGATGGCATGCCCCTCAATCTCCCCGGGGTACCCTGCTATGCAGGAAGCCAAAAATACTATGGCACCTTCATGGCTCCGTAGAAGTCAAGGATTGCGACAACAATTCAATTTCCAAAACACACAGCCCATAGGCACATCCCAACCCAAATCTACGCGTGCAGTGCCCAGAAGCCTTCAATTATGTGCAAAAAGCCATGTTGTTTGTACGGTGTGTTGCCACAAGGCCAGAATGGAGAAGCTTTTCCAAAGCAGGGGGTCGTCCACACGCTTCCCCTCCACCCAGCACCCCAGCAGTGCCACAGCCCCAAGGCCACCTCCCGCAGATCAGGGGGCTGCAGGGGAGGGTTATTGTAAAAACAACGCGAGAAACACAAGCCGCTTCAAGATCTGGGCTGTACCTGAGAAGTACATCCAGTACATAAACACGGCCTGTTCCTACCCACTCGGTTAACCGGGAAAGCATGCAACAAGATGACAATAGCTGTTGTTTCACTCCTACAAGCCTTTCTCCATTTTCACACAAAAGCTGCCCCAGTTACCTGGGATCCCTAGAGGCCAGTAGCCAGGCACAGCGCTGAGTAGCCAACCGTCCCCCTTCCTCAGCGCTGCCTGGCCCGAAGTCAGTTTTTACAATTGAGAAGGGAAGGGAAAGGGTGGGGGGGAACTGCCTGCAATCAGAGCAAGTTTAACCCTCATGCAGGGGACTGCCTGATCAGAACAAACTGGACAACACTGCCTGCCTTAACCAAGCAAGAAGTACTGCAAAAAGGTTTTTTTTTGTCTTTTTTTAACAAATGTTTCTTTTTTTCCCCTGGATTGCAACTAAAATTCTTTGGTTAGTGTTTTAACAGAGACTCACAGCCAGCTTCCCATTAACACTGGAGCCACTTTACACAGTGTAAAAAGTATTTAAAATAGCATATATAATAACTACACCTGCTTAGTATTAATGACATGACATTAATGAGAATCAGGTTCCCAGTAATATTTTGCCTTTGAAGGAATACAAATGTTTCCTTTCCACTGCCTTCCCAATTCCCCTTTTCCCCAAATAAATGAAACAGATGGTTAACAAACAGATTATTCTTTTGAGTGAAGCTCGCCCAAGCAATAAAAGGTCTGGAGTTTCTCAATTAAATCATAAGGCTGTTCTTGTTCAGAAAGATCTTCCTGAAGGGCAGTAAACTACTCTTTCAGGAAATTAAGAAAAGGGAAAGGTAGGGATAGGGGAAATCTAAAGGCAGGAGTTTTCACTAAAGCAGGAACTTACTGTTACTGAACAAAATCACTGGAAGCAGCAGTGCAATGTTTGCACAACAGACCTCCACAGACAGAGCCACTGATGGTGTCAGGAAAGGGGAGGAAAGTAAAACGCAATGTGTATTTGGGAGCCAAAAGAAAAAGGGCATGTCTCATGCTAAACCTATCTGCTTTGGCAGTATTCCTGTAAAGATCACAAACTTGTTTTGATCACTAAATATAGCAGAGAGAAGGAATCTACTGCAAGTAGCTCTCTCCGGCAGCACTTGATGTTTTACGCAGGCAGAAGGACACAAAAGCGAGATTTGTCAAGCAAATGGCAAATGAAGCTTGCCAAATGTAAAGGGCAAATTACAATTTAAACGATAGGTCCTAGCCTGGCAGCTGTGAATTCATCAGCTTCTCTGTCAAGCCCATCCAACTGACACTAGAGCAATGCAAACCACCACTCTTCCCCTTGCACACCTCTGCTCTGACCTGGAGGGGCCACCTCTCCAAAAAACAAGTTTTTCATGTCATTATAATTCTTCCAGCTGAAAATTCCCCCCAAAAGTCCTAGTCAGGGTCTTGTTTGTTTGTTTTTACACCTTCTGTCCCATGTATTTCAAGGTTTGTGGGCAAAGCAGCCTTTCTACAAGCGCAGCCTGCACGTTGGCATGTCTGTGCTGGTTTTGCACACATGAAAAGGGCTTTTTGACGGTGTTGTCTCCCACGCTGACTGTGCAGGACCCTCCTCTGTGGGAGAAAACCAGTGCTTCACTTAGACAACTCAGCAGAGCCTCTGCACTGCTCTGCTAAGTAAAGCACTTTTGTTTACTGCTTAAGATAAATAAAATGTCTCTCTCTTTGCTCTCAAATAATTAGTTGCTTTAGGGAAAAAAAAAATCAAAACAAAACAAACTCAAACCTCTGATTTATATCATAGTTTCAAGCCTGTAGAATAACTTTCTGTGTGCAGTGAAAACCAGGCCAAACACTGTTATTCTTACCAGTACTGTTGCCAGAGAGGACTAAACAGCCAAACTGCACACAGACAACCCAAGAGAAAGAACATGGTGCTGCACAGTAGCCTGCTAGAATAAACTGTTCTCACTATACAAAGTTAAAAAAAAAAATATAAAAATACAGTTGCCATTGCAAATTCAGTTGCACTTGCAAAGCCAAGGACTCCAAATCACAGCCCAGATTAAAAGATGCCTTACTTATTTCACGCATTCCCCTTCTGCACATGCAGGACGGCAGTCTCCTCCTCATCCCTGTCGGAACCACAGAGCTGTCCAGGCTGCTTTCTTTGCGAACCGGGATTTCTTACAAGGGAGACAAAAACAGGACGAGTGCCCGTGCAGTTCCCTCGCTGAAAGTCAGCGATATTCCTAACGCAGAAGTTACTCACAGACAAGTTCAGTCAAGCATCAGAGCGCGCATGTTGTGCAAGCAGAGCCGCCGTGCCACCCTCTCCGGGGCCGGGCAGCTGCAGCAGGGCCGTGGCCAGGCAGGTGAGGTGAGCCCCAAGCCAACTGGCCGGCCGAGCCAACTCCAGCCCACCCAGGGATGTTTCTGTGCAGCTGGCGGAGACGCACCGCTGGGAGCCACCGCCCAGGACCAAACCCCAGCAAGGAGATGCCGGGTGACCGCCGACACGAGTCCTGGGAACAGGATATGCTCCAACTCCCTTACAATCCATCCACTAGCTTTTGGTACGGTAAACTTCTGGACCGGCTTTTCGGAGAATCTTTGCAAGATGAAACATGTTCAGAATCACCTCCAAGCTTTGCAAAGGTGAAGCCTTCCCTCGCAGGCGCTATCTGTAAAGCCATTCCAAGTCTACCTACAGCACTAGTAAGGCACAACTGCTCTGCAGGAACAGTGTTTGCACACACCTACATTGCACAAGTATCTGTTTCCTCCCCCGTAGGAACTGCTGAGGTGCCCTGGGCACATAACTGGGAAGAAAATTCAGATTTTTCACTGCCCTAAAACAGAGCCAGCTCTGTTGTTACTTCCCTCTTACAATAACAAGCTCTGCTTTCTCCATCCCAGGGGTATTTCATCACCAACATCCCACCCAAATTCTGCGTAAGAAACAACATTGCAAACAATCTATCAGACACTTATTTTCTTAAAAAAAAACAAACAAACAAAAAAAAAAAAACCAAACAAACACAAAAACACAAACCAAAACCAAACAGCAAAACAACAAACAACCCTAAACCTGTCAGTCTCCTAACTGTGAAATCACTTGCTACAGTCCAAGTGGTTGATGAAGCAAGATAACAATACCAGGAAATACCTGGAACCGATCTTGAATGTTTATTTTTAGAGACTGGATTTTCTCCCAGCTCTTATTTAATAGTTTTCTCTTTCCCTCCTCTCCTTAGTTGTTCCCTCTGGGATCAAATTGCAATTTGTTTCACCTCTTGGGAGTTCACCCAGAGACCCCCTGCGCAGAACTTTAGGAATTGAATCCTGGCTCGGACACCACGTTCCTTCTATTTCATGGCTATCATATTCTTTCTCACGCATCAAAAAAGATAGGAGAATGCTCTGGTATTTGTCTGAAATCAGAAGTGCACAGGATCCATTTAACACTCAGTACTTGCCTGTACTTCGTATCTCTGCTATACAAGCAAATTCCTTCAACAAATTTTCCCCCTAGACACTCAGCCCATTTAGCAAAGGAAGTCTTTCTGCTGTAAATTTGTTTTCCGCACAGGAGAAATTTTATCCCTATCATACCTGGTTTACCCGTGCAGATAAATTAGGCTTTTTCCATTAGACCCAGTGATTATTTTTTTTTCCAGGCTGCTAAATAACACTGCAGTGGCAGCAACACTTCAGAGTAGACCAGCTCCCTGAGCTTTGCATTTAGATATGCACTGCAAGGTTTAGATATGTCTGCTTAAAGAATTTCTGCACATCATCTGAACACCACTGAGTAATCACACATGCTGCCTTAGGCCACTGCAAGCCTGGACTCTAGCGTATTTACTCCAAGGTTTATCCATTTTGTGATTGAGAGCACACACACAATCATCCACACCAGCCCAGTGGATACACAGTAATTCAACTACGTGCCTGAACTATGGATTTTTAAGGGCCGGGAAAGGGGGATGAGTAACAGCCTATATAATTTTGCACAAAAAGGAAACGGGTACCTACCGGGTGCCGTGGCCCACCAGAGACAGATCACCAGGCAGCTGCGAGGAGCACGGGCAGGGGAAGCAACACAGCCCTGGGAGCCTCCAGTCGTCCTCATTGCTTCCACCTCTGCCACTAACCTGATGTGCGACCTTGAAAAAGCCACTCTGCAAATCCCCCTTCGGCCTCTTATTTATAGCAGAAGATTGTCTGGCGCTGTGGGTCCAGCCCAAAGCTTTTCTGAATCCAATGACTGACCAGGGGAGGAGGAAGGCTTTGAACTGGACGTTACTGTCAGCTCTCTGGTCTCGCGTAAAGCCCTCCAGGCGCGCCGCCTTACACCACACAACCTACACAGGCACCGAGGCTGGTAGGAATGAGGACACTAGGAGCCCTCCTAGAACCTCTGCTGGGATATGAGACACTTTGGCCGAGATTCAGCTCTCCTGACACGGAACAGCTACAAGAGAGATGCCTCCATGCACATTCATTGTTTGAACTCTGTAGAAACAATGGAGAGAAACAGGCACTTTTAGGGCAGTTTGTCCAATGTATTTTTAGATGTCCAATAAAGTGTGGATGAATCATGGCCCAAAAGTGTTTGTTCCTCTCTAGTGACTGTGATAGGAGTCTGAAGAAATGTCTCTCACGCAGATAGTTATGTTGTAGTTTGGCAAGATGAATCTCACCCTTTTAAACTGGGGGAAAAGAAGCAAGCAAAGAAGCACCCCTCCTTGGTTTACACTTAAGTGAGAAAGGGTATCTCCACTAGAGACACATCGTGCAAGCGGTCTGTGCTCCCCTCCCTTGTAAACATCTTGTAACTAGACCATATGCAACCACCTTCATCGAGAGGGCTTGGCTTTGCTAGAAGAGTTTCACTTACTCATTGAACTCGAAGCTTTCACCAAATATTTCTGCGAACAAAGCTGCACATTGCTCACTACACGAGAGCCTCCAAAAAGCAGGGCAGCTTTCATTTCTCTCCCTGCATCATTTAGCTGGCTATTAACAACACAAACCAACTCGACACAAAACCAAGGTCACACTAATGCAAACTGAACCCAACCCGTTTCTGAAGCGTCTTTACAACCATTTCATGGCCAGCTGTAGAGGGGCCATTTGCCGCAGACCAACAAGGCATGTTCAGCAGCATATATTCACTCCCTGCTCTGCCTCACCCTTTCACTCCATCATTCACCAACTTCTTGTCTTTCTACTGGTAACCAACAGGCCAAAAGATTCAGAAAGCAAAACTTTTTCCTGTAAAACCCACATTTCTGCCTCCTCCCTACACTTCCATGAAAGTAATTACAAGTGCTTTGTTTTCCATCTTAATTGTCATTTCCTTTGATAGAACTTGCAGACTGAGTCTTAAAGCTCAGATAACCAATACCATTCTTTCCTCTTCTTCCTCATCCCTGGCCACAAACAGTACTGCTTGTATCAGGGTCAGCAATTCCTTAAAAACCTCTCAAACCAATCTGTGCGGCTGCATTGTGTTGGGAGTTATCAGCAGGCTGCAGGAAGGTTAGAAAGCAAACATGCCTCCCTATGAGAGACCAGAGACAGAAGTTAAGCCCAGTCAAAGCTCTGCCCCATTTCCCCTCCTGTGGGGAGATAACAGCCTGTTCTGTACCAGCCCTTTCCCCAGTTTTCTGCTCCCTTCCTGCGTGTGCAGCTGAGCTAAACAGAAGTTTTTTCCCCACTCCCTCTTCTGCCCCTGTCCTGGCCCTTTACCATCTCCACAAAAGCAGCTGGCTTCATCTCCTGCTGTGAACGAACACTGTGATTTAGGTGTTCTATAGAGCCTGTCTTCTTCATATCCTCGCTAGCACCGGGACTTGTGTGCAAACCATGAAGGTCACAGGAAGCTGGCCAGTGTTCAGAGACACCATTTAGCCTTCCCATCTTCACTCTGCAATCCCTTCACAGACAAAATGCTCCAGGCGCTGGGGGTCTTTCCCCTCCCAACATTATCCCAAACCAAAATACGTTCATCTTTCACCATGACTACTTGCTGCTGACACCCTTCATGCTCCACAGGATGCAAGTCAGTCCAGGAAGGGTAGACAGTCAAATCCATGTCCTATGGGGTGACATACACTATACTTTTTGATTCTTAGTCCGGTATGTAGAATGTCCTGCTCCTCCTGGGGAAGCTGCACATCAGCACAGGAGGGAGCGGGGTGAACACAGCCTGTCCCTTAGCACGGACATACCACTTGTACTCCCAAATATATATTTACGCTCCAGACCAATTCAGCCACATCAGCTGAAGCCAAAAACTGTCCCAGACCCAAGTCAGATCTTGATCTCTGCCACGGAGCAAAGCTGGCAAAAATCAGATGAACGTGATCAACCAGTGGCTACGTGGCCACCTCTGTCACAGTCACAGGAGTCTCCCACTCACACCGGCCAGGGATGAAATTCAGGCAAAGGAAGATTAGGTGAGAGGTGTATGAAATGTCACCTTCTCTTTAATCGCAGCTTATGGATCCAGCCCCAAAGCATTACTCATACAGCGCTCCACACGTATAATCCCACCGCGTAATCCAAATACTTGTTCAAACAGGTACGTTGCTAGGAGTGGGTCCTTGCCATCACTGTCTACATTTCCAGCGTTCCTCCAAGACCACGTCCTCTCCCACATCTAGAAGTCCCGTGACAGTTCAAAATAAACCGCGGGAAAGCTCCGGCAAGGCTGGTGGCACACACGGCTCATTCCTCCGACATGAGAAACGACACAGCCCACTGCAACCTGATAGGTGCTCTCCCACGCTGCCAGATCATGTTGGGGAAACACTTTAGTTGTGGTGAGCAACAGATAAGCATCTTTCTGCGCATACACAGAAAAAAAGCACCTCAGCTGGTAGACTTTTAAAACCACTATTCATTGTACCCCATGGAAGAAAAGGAATTGGGTAAACTGGCTGAAGGGTCCAGCTTTGCCAGGAAGAGTTTGGATCGTCTTTTCACATCTCTCCGTATAAACCCAGTCATTGAGAGTCTAGATCTAAAACAGAGCTGCAGTTGCTAAGAAAACAGCGCTGCAAACAGATGTCAGGAGATGATTCATGGAGTCAGGGCATATCCCTGTACTACAGATAAACCAAAATGAATGAGGCTCTTTATACCTGATCTTCCAAGCTGTGCTTCCTCATGCCTTCTTCGGGATTTTTTTCTTTAATTCATTTCTATATTCAGACAGCGAGGAAACTGAGCAGAGCTGAACTCTCTGTTTATGGAATTAATTACTGCTAAAGGGGTTTTACAATGTGTATAATGAACTCAGTAAAAGGGCTAACTGTGGCCCATTATCCCCCTGAAACAAAGCATTTTTCTCCTGAAACATGAAGCAACTTTCCCCAAAAACCTATCAGAAAAAATAACATATAACCCACAGTTAAAAACTGCAAAAAAATGAATAGTAACATTTTTTTTTTGTTGTTACTTTCCCTCATACCATAAAACTTAAAATTAGCGGCTAGGGAGATAAAGCATTTTCAACCTATTAGATCATTAGCCAGTAATGCATGCCGCTTCTTGAATTACTTCATTGTGTTTACACTTAAAATCTTTGCCTGACAAATAAAAAATAGATAGCACACTACAGCACTGGCTGATTGCTGCTGACACCAAGAAAGTTCTCATTTACCTTAATGAAGTTTTAGTCAGATTTAATTGGAGAAAAATAACTTCCTTTGCCCCTCTTAAACCATCATGTTGAATTCTTAATATGGTATGATAAGCAACGGCACTTAAAATACAGTTTCCTGAGGTTATTTGTAAAGAACTGTTTAAATAAAAGAACTTTGATATATGCTTTTGTAGATAACTAGGGTAAAAAGGCAATTATCATTCATTACCCTTCATTATGAGGAAGGGAAGAACAAACATCATTTACACACTTCTGAATACGTGTTTGTACAGCACTGTGCAGAAGAGGGGCCCAAACACTGTGACGGTTACACATCAGATACGGTCACCGTGGATTTTCCACCCCCCCCTCCAAACTCCCGCGTGTCCCTGCCCAGCTCTTGGCTTCAACTCGCCGCCGTTGCCATCGCTTGCAGGCGCCAGGGCTTCCGCTCCCCTGCCACCGCATGCTCACTCCACACCACCCCGTCCCCTCCCGCTATGACATGCCTGCTTCTGCCTTGGAAATCAATTATTTAGGCTGCCCTGATTTCAGCGTGAGGTGGCTCTGTGCGTGTGCCTGTGGGGTGGTGGATACTGCTAGTGCGGGCAGCGTTAGCAGCCGCCACCGTGCTCCTTCTCGGAGCTGTAAAACCACCCCAGGAGTGGACGAAGCCCGTGACTCAGCTTCCCAGGAGCCAGAGGCCCCGTGCATCCCTTCCACAGGTATTGCATTTCAGACAGAGGTGTAAACAGGCGCACCCACCAGGCTACGGTTTTGTTAGCTTGGCCAACGGTCACAATAACTAGCCCAGATCCTGCACACGGCAATTAGGTCTTTGTCTGTCTAACCTGTGACAGGAGATTGCCCTGAAAGCTGAGAGGGAAAAAAACCATGGGAATGATTTAAAGAGGGGAGTGAGGATGGATGGAACATGAGGCACCTTGAAAGAGGGAAGCAGAGGCACGAGGAACACACAGTCACTGATCTGACAAAGGTTGTGAGAAACTCTCAAACAAACTTGCTCAAAGTTTTTTCTCTGTACAGTTTGAGTAACTTGAGGAGCGTGCACCTGCTCTACCTCCCAACTCCTCCAGCAGCTCCCAGGCAAAATAGAGAAGAAAGAACAACTGTGTTTGAGGGGGGCAGGGGGAGGACTGAGCCTGGATTTATTCGTGGAGGTGCAAGGAGGACAGAGAACCTTCCCTTAAATCCCTGCACACACCGCACCTGACACAAAGTCAGCGCCGAGTTACAGACCAAGAGCCCCATGGGCCACAGCAACACAGATCTGTAATAACTGCTCCAAGAGGGAACGGGGGGGGGGGGGGGGGGGGGGGCTGCCAGGAGCCCCTGAAAGATGGGGGGGAAGGTGGGAGGGCGAGTGGCATGCAAGGGGGGGTTAGAGAAAGGAGCCCCTGTGCAGTTGGAGGAACAGAAAGCACCAGCCCTCAGCAGGCGACGTTTTACCCAGGGCAGCGGCAGCAGGACCGACCTGGCACTGTATATACAGCCTGTACCTCCTGCGGCCC